TTAAATTAATAATATAGCTTTAATAATTAATTAAAAATATAGCTTTCCAAAAACAAAAACGTAATTTGGATTTTATTAACAATAAATTTAGAACAAGAAATTCATATCTTGTGCCGAAATGCATTTGTCGAAGTCAAACGTTTGGGCTCCAAGATGGCGGACGAGTCAGCTCCCCTTTATCCAGTAGCTCTACTCGACACCTTTCCCTGTGCCATCTCTCGCTCGGCCATCTTGCCAGGCTCCCCCCGTTATTGAGAGTATATGACAGTAATTTCAAACACAGGGATATGCTTAAGATATCGAAGAAAATCTCGTATTTTTATTATTAGAATGAAGCACTTAAACTTGTTATAAATGATTTTTCTGTAATAAATACTGAACATACAAAAGCGCCACCCGCTACGGTGAACAAGGCACGATCTGCCAGGACTAAAAAGCGTTGCACGGAACAATCGTACGTGATCGATATCGCGTTTGCGCTCTCGCGAAAATATAACAAGCGACTGTTTAGCATCCCGTCAGAATCGGCGCGTGGAAGAGGTTGCCTTTTGCGAGAATGCCGCAAATCATGACGGAGGCGTTCGCGAGAGGACTGCTAGACAAGATAATGATACAAGTTCTGGACGTTGTAGATCGCGACGCGGAGGATGGTAAGGTGCAACCTCGTCTGTACGTCTCGTGAATGTAACGGCGAATTGAATAGAGACGTTGTTACATGCATATACGATGCTGTTCATTGATAGACGCCGTTTCACGACGCTGTCGCGCAACAGCGTGGCTTTCAATTGCGATCGACACGTAGATAACCGCGCGCAGGCGCGTTTAATTAGCCCTATTAGACGCAAATAATACATACGGGATTAACACTGTTATTAGGAAAATCCTGGGAACAGCACGTCAATGAGGAAACAGGCGATGCTCGGTCGGAACATATGCACGGTAGATCGCGCGCAAACGAACGTCCGCACATAAATTATAGCAAGACCGAAGAGATAGAATTGATCGCGAAGATAGTCCGCGATTTGCGCGACATACGGATCGGGGATTCGCGTTATGTACTTCCGCCTTCATTGTTAACGTTGGAGAAACAGGTAATTGGATGTCGTTATACAAGAGGCAACCAGCTTTCCGAGACGTAATCATTCTGTTATAATCAATCATAGAGATTGAAGGTGAGGGAGGAAAGTTTAACCCGGCGAGAGTGTGGCAGAGTATGTCATACCCACCATGTTACTTATTTGCGTGCATTTTTTGTTTGTGACCTTCAAATCTGTTGTTGCTTTGAGTAGCTGGAGTTAAAGGGGTGCGGGAGGGAATAGTGGCGTGATCACAGTGTCGCGGCAGCCTGCGCTCGAGTCATACCCTGCCGCATACTCCTTGTTACATTTTTTCACCACACTCTGGGAAAAAAAAGTCAGTTACAATCCATTTTGGGGCCCACAATTAGTAATCGAATTATTTAGATTGTTCGTAACTCTAACTTTTACGAATTTTATCTCGCGTAACTAAAAATCACAATTAGCCGTTCTATCCATATTCAAGATATTAGAGTAATACTAATCAATTCTCTCAATTAGTTCTGTCGATATTCAGTAACGCAAATATAATTTTCACTTAAGTGGCAATAAGCGAAATGTTAAGTTGCTTAACTACATCAAAAAACGGTCAAAATTTTTCCCAGAGTAGAGTTACGAACAATCCAAATAATTCGATTACTAATGGTGGGCCCCAAAATGGGTTATAACTGTCTTTTTTTTTCCCAGAGCACTCTCGCCGGGTTAAGGAAAGAAAGAGTAAGAGAGGAAGGGTGATGAAAAACGCAAAAAGATTTCGAACTATGATAAGATTTTTAATAAGTCAAATGATACAATATCAAATTGCATTTTTACGCGCAATTTTCTCTTAAGTTTTCATGGTAATTTACCTCTACAGGCTCGTGTCCACGATGCTAAAACGTGGCCCAAGTTCCAGTTTCGAGAACCGTGTAGCCAATCAACTATTCTAAAGAAGCATTTCTCAAAACTTGGGACTTGGACCAAGTGCTAGCATCGTGGACTTAAGAGACCTTAAGGACCTTAAGAGAGGCTTCGCCATTGCAATAGTTTCGGCAGTTAAGCAAAATTGCAACCGCATCATTTTTTTATCAAGTTACTAAAGAACTATACTTGTTCAATTGCGAGTTTCGTAAAAAGAAGAAGTTAAAGTCTACATAGCGCTTTCGTACGCTATTTCATGACAGACGGCTCTAGATGAGCCGTACGGCCGCAATTGCAGTGCACTCACGTGCGAGAGGTCTTGCGTGCGCAAGAGGTCCGCGGTTCACTCTGGTGCCGCACCTGTGCCCCATTAATTCCACGTGCGACTATCCCTCGTGCGCGTGACAGGATAAGGTTTACTCACGAGACCACGCGCTTGAACAGGTGAAATACGACGATGCGCCGCTCGCGAGTCCAACGACCGACGTTGCCGAAACTCAACACACGACCCGAGGTCAAGGTGATACGCACCAGATCGTGCACGCGACCGTCTTGGAGTCACCGATTGAGCTGACGGAGTCGGTGAAGACAATTCGGAAGAAGAAAGAAGGCGAAGCGGCCAACGAGGCGACCAGTGTGTCCGTCGGTCTGTTACAGCAGCTGATCGGAGATCTGGAGGACAAGACGGCCTCGGTCTGCTGCGAGGACGACGCTCCCTTAGACTCGATTAGCGAGGAACACATTGCTGTTTGCGAGGAGAAGGAAGAGCAATTTATTAGGACTATCGAGGTTAATGCTGGCGACACACACGATATCGCAACGGGGACTCTTCGAAGTAGCGAGTCGGTCGGCCGCTTCCGCGTCACCGAACTCAAGCACGACGAGAAACTGAGGTCTCGCTCAAGTCAACACGTGGCGTCCACCTCGAGGGAGGTCGGCCTCGAGGAGGAGGAGGTTCAGATTGAGAAGCGCGGGTCGAACTCGTTATCGTCATTGAAACCATCGCGCGACGACAGCGTCGCGACCGTGGACCAGATTCTGCCCGTCAACGACGCGGAGAAGCGAAAAACGTCTAACGAGGCGACAACGAAGAAGAAGAAGAGAGGCTTGGGTAGCCGATTGAGGAAACTCCTCCGCGCCGCCTTCGGTCGCCGGAAGAATTGACGCCGAGTTGCGGAAGAAGCGCTGCCTCGCGATCTACGTCAAGCGACGACGATTTCCGTCCGTTCGCTCACACAGCAGCTTTTCAGTCGCGTATTTTTCAGAGGGGAAACAAGTCCACGAATGTACAGCGAGTAAAAATAACTGACCGCCGCGCGCACTCATCGGCCCGCGGGTCACCGCAACTTTCACGCACTTTCGGTGCGACGCGTGAATCAGACTTCTCTTTACATTCCTAGATGGTAACCGCAAGCGTTGTACGCGAACCCGCAAAATTCTGTAAAATATATAACGTCTGATGACTTCACACGACACGTCTCACGTTCTTGATCGTGGTAACCTAAAGCCTCCGCTACAATGATTCTCGGTTCTGTCTACAATGGTCGTAGTCGTAGTCGCTCGATAAGAATTGACCAATCGCAGTCGATTATTCTTACGACTACGACCATTGTAGACAGAACCGAGAATCATTGTAGCGGAGGCTTAAGCGATTTAGTTTAGAAATCGATAGCCATAGAAGCTGACTCCGCGGCGTCGAAGGCCGCCGAGAGTGTATTTTTGCCCGATGCGTCTATCGGGCGCTGCGGACCTGGCAATCTGACATAGGAATGCCGTCGTCGACGTCGTAGCCCCATTTACCGCAGCAGGAAGAGGCATTCGCCGACTCTCGCCTCTCGTCGCTTCTCGAACTGTTTTTGGACCGCGGCGTTGCCATGCCCCGTCGCCGTCGGTCCGTCCGCTCTTCTTGCAGATCTGGACCTCAGCATCATTCGAGGGTGTCCCCGTAGCGCCATCTGCAAAAATAAAATGAGTAAATTTGGTAACACCGGGTACCACTTCTGGTTCAGGCTCCGTTCGGTCAACATCCACTGCTACCAGACGATCGACAATGGTAAGTCGATATTCAGCTCCCTTTCTCCCTCGAGGTTGAAAATCTTCCTCGCGGCTTCCTCGCGAACGGCGCAGATTTAACAAGTCATGGTCAAATTATTTTTATAAATTAATGTTGTGATCTCGGGATATCAAAAGCTTCAATAAAGGATCCTGTATTTCAGGCAGACCTCGGCGGCAAGGATGTTGAAAGTGAGTAAACCAATCAAATAGTTCTGTTACATTTCCGACGTGCTGCACAAATTGTATGGGAGGTAATTAACGAAGACAGATTAATCAATTTGCATCGCTATTGGTGAAGCTGTAAGTGATTTCTACATGTAACTTCGTATAGCTCTGGGTCACGCGATTAGAAGGAAGTGAACAAAGTTTCAACAGAAAATTGCAAAATTTGCGCAGACACCAAAACCGGCGATAAAGTTCGCGCCAATTCAAATCACGTTATTAACCAGTGACGTCATTAATATTAAATTAAAGTGACATATTATAGATTTTTGTTAAAATTATTAACGTTTCTAACAACGATTAAGCGAATGAAAAATCTCTTCGTTACATACAAGTGTTTCAATATTGGATTATTCGACAAAATGTTTAAAGGCCTAAAAAGATAGTAGTAGTCTTTGAAACAGTTAATTAATTTTCTCCAGAACTGAAGAAACAAATTCTTGTTTCTTGTACAATAAAGTGTTTCCATTAACTTAAAGATTTTGCTTCGCATTTAAAGTTCATACTTATCATTTTTTTTAACAACTACTGCCTTGTTGAATTCAGTGAATCATATATCGCGAATTTTCCTCGCGGCATAATTTTTCAATTAACGCGAGCTGCGTGCCATTTTTCGCGTTGCATAACAGCGCGATGGGTCGGGTAGGTGAATACGAACGTTTCGCAGCGCGTCAAAAATAGGTTGGTAGGCTGCGCTTATATGGTTCGGCGGGGGTAATCTGACCCAGTGCTTCCACCACCGGCTTCTTCAATCTAGCGGTGGGGCTCACTGGCTCTCTCTCGAAATAGAAGAATATTTTTGAAGAGAGGTACGCACGCTGGCACTCCGTGCCTACGACTGGTATTAACCCAGATTTCGCGCCTCGCATATTTAAAAGCGCGGCCGAATATTCATGGCCGACGACGGCAAGATTCGGTTTAGTCGCGATCGGCCGTCGAAGGTATCACCTTGCGGTACGGCTGGGGAAATGCGTGTGAAATTGCTCCTTTTGTTAAAAAAGGGGCAGAATTCGCCTTCTCCATTTACGACGATGACGGCACCAACGTCATCGACGCGGTTAATCTTGGCAACGTCCTTCGCGCGCTGAACTTGAACCCCACAAATGCGACCATCGAAAAGATGGGCGGCACGAAGAAGAAGGGCGAGAAGAAGATGAAACTGGACGAATTCCTGCCTATCTTCAGCCAGTGCAAAAAGGACAAGGAGCAGGGGTGCTTCGAAGACTTCCTCGAGTGTTTGAAGCTGTACGATAAGCAGGAGAACGGAATGATGCTCGGCGCGGAATTGTCCCACACACTTCTGTCACTTGGTACGAGCTTTCTTTCGCCGATAATTACGTTAAAAGACGCCAATTAAAGTTTTCCTTTATCATTGCATTGCACGTATACTCCCGTACAATATATCTTTCAGTGAGCAACCCATTTATGTAAATCTTTGGACAGAATCTTCTGCGTGCAGTTTTATTATGTTGAGAATAATTAATAGAGAAGGGTCCTCTATTATGAGATGGAATTCTAAGTTTTTTTTGGCAACGATTACACGATCTAACGATCAATTCTACACCGAACAGATGTTGGTGGAACCAACAGATGATGCCTATTAATTTTGCGGGAACTCCGCTGTCTCATATTAGGAGCCTATCCCATAGGGGACTGCTCTCTATTAATAACTCGCTAATATTAGCTTTCGAGTGGTTGCGATAACGAATGAATACAATTGAATGCTCTGTCTATAAAGGAAATACATTTTTGTAGTATTACAATATGGTCTAAATAATCGATTTCTGTCGCAGGCGAGCGTCTTAATGACGAAGAGTGCGATATAGTTATAAAGGACTGCATGGACCCAGAAGACGAGGACGGTTTCATCCCCTATGCCCGTAAGTATCGATCCGTTTCAGACCGTAAATGCGCCCCCCCCCTCTCCCCCGCCCCGAGATAGACGAAGAGTGTCGAATCACCTGCATTACATTCACCGCATTAGAATATGTTAAGAATTTCATGAAGTACGGAAACGACCTTGCTGCTCCTCTTCAGGTAACAAGTAAGTTTGTTACCTGAAGCGGGCCCAGTGTTACTGACCGAAACGTTGTGTTTTATTATAACAAAGAACCCAGTGAGAAATGATTCGTCGATCGACGTCGAAGCGACGTAGAATCGACATCGACACCGTCGAATTGACGTCGATTCGACGAATCATTTCTCACTGGGAATTTCCCCAGTAAGATCGTTTCCATACTTCTAAAAATTCTTGATCTCTTGACTGGCGTCACTAAGCTGCTACTTAATTGTTGGAATATGTTGGTTTGGAAAAAGAAAACAGCTATCGAAATCCCCATCTCTGTTCTTTGACGTCCCCGAATCTGTTTTGCTAGAACTAGAAAGTGTCCCCTTGTATGTATGTATATAATGTACAGTTGACAAACCCCTCGCGGTTCGTAATACCGGCCCTCCGGTAACTCCCGGCGACGTGAAGAGATCCCCCGGATACGATTCGTCCCCTCTCCGTCGTTTGACACATCCACATTTTTGTGTTTCGCAGCCTTCTTGAAGAAGATGATGGTGCTGTTGTAAGCGGTCGAGGTGTAATCGCGACAATGATCGTCCATCGTGAGTACAGCCCAGTGGCACGATTCCGCGATTGTCCGCCATTTCTTCGTCCGACTGTCTGTCTCTCTGCCTCTCTGTCTCTTTATCTCTTTATCTCTTTATCTGCACCTATTAACATCGTCCTGTCCGCGCGTTCTCTCTCGCCGAGCATATTCCAGAATTTATAGGACGCAACGTTGCAGCTCGACAGGGATGCTGGAAATCGATAACCCGCTTCTCGCACAGAAAACACGTACGGAGGTTTCGCTCGCGCGCGGGGCCAATGACCTGATGAGATCATCGAGGCACAGAATAAAATCGAGCCGTCTAAAGAAAAAAAATTGAAACGGAATAGGAAAAGATATACGAAAATTTTTTTCCCGCAGTGTACACGCGCGCTTGTACGAAAGTATTTTTATTTAAACGAGTCATAAGTGTTTGATTTTTATTTAATTTAAATTCCGCGACTCTTAAAATCTCTCGAAGAAACAGACGAATAATTAGATGTAAAACAGTTTAATTATACATACACTTGATAGTGATCACAATTGCATAGATGCTTCTGTTATAAAAGCAACTTTTAATGTTCCAGCTCTTGTATTTCTCTGCTACGCGAATTATTAATGCTTCTTCTACTATTTACGTGTCTATCGCTTCTACATATCTGTCGCTTCGCTACTGAGCAGCGGCAAATTAAGCGCTGACTGCTACTTAAATCAGACCAATGCCCCGCCGATGCAGATTAATTTTAATCCCCGTTTAACCAAGCCTTGGTCTTTTTCCAATTCCGGAGACTGGGAAAAGGGTAAAAAAGGAAGATGAGCCGAGATCGAAGTTAATCCGCATTGGTTGAAGCGGGGATAGAACGTTCGGTATTGTCAGCTTCGCGCATAAACTAATTCTTTATCTCTGCCTTGAAATATACGTTTATCGACTTTACGAAAACACGCTTGTTCACTTGTCAATGATTTGCCTGCGCGCACGGATACATGTATTGATCATTCTATTTCGTTCGCAGCGTTCCTTCGTAGACTGTGTGAGAGGGCGGCAGCATCAAGCGACGATTAGTAGGATGATCAACGTCTACGCCAAGCCAGGCTCCACGTCGACGATGGACACATTCGCCATATTCGCTCGTCACATTCACCACTCCTCTCATCCCCCCCCCGCTGGATCATGCGAGGATCCATTTGACAATTTGCAAACCACGATCCTGAAATCAGCAACATCAAGGCGTCAGCAGCACCTCACTGAGAGAAGAGCAAGACGGGGAGAAGACCCGTGGCAAGATACCGGTCAAGTACAAAAAGAAAATAGCACTTTATCTCGAATGCGCGCGACATCGTTATCTGATTCGGCCTCACACGATGTAGCGTCCTTAAATTTACATTAACGCAAAATGCACCCCGACACAGCAGCATTGTACAAAGTCAGATGAAACGGTCGATATTGATTTACTTCTTACTGTAATAAATCGCTCCTCTCGAGCCAACGGAGAGGATTGAAAAGTCTTTTACCACGCATCGTCGCCTTGAAACTATCCCGTTCGTTACACACTGCGCTCTCTTTCGCGTCAAGTTACTTAATTCCCCCGTTTAATACAATATCTGTGAAGTTTCAAATAATTATCGTTCATTCGCGTACCGCCTGTACGTACGTCGCATGTCGCGAGACCGCGACACTTTAACGCAGTGACAAAATATGATGTCGCGAGATCATCCGATTAGCATAGATTCCTCGTCGCTGGCGTACAAGCCTGGCTATTTCCGTCTGACTGACATTTTCTTGCTCTACTTAAGCAATCGCGTGAGAAACACAGACATCGAGGCATGTCACTGCCGAAATCTATTTAAAAGCTGCGCCAGCACGTTGGATCTCCCAATGTTGCGCACCGTAGTAGCGCAATCACTGTCTTTTTCTTGGATACTTTAATCAGGTATTGTTATACGACACCGTCCGTTAGTCGTTCAAGTAGACGTTCCCTTTCTTCTCGCCCGAGTAACTCGGAGAAGGAACATAATTATGGAATAACGGAAGTACTTGGAAACTGTGCCCTGTGTCCACGGTCCAAGAACTATAATGTCCAAGTTTTGGTTCCGAGAAATATGTAGCCAAAATTTACTTTAAACGAACTTAAAGTTGTCAAAAGTAATCTCTCAGTCTAAGAGCGAACTTAAGAAATTTCTAAGTAATTTTCGACACTCAAAGTAATTTTTAGCCAAGCCTGTCGGAATTCCCGCTAGAGGGCCGCGCGGCATAGCACTTCTCGAAAGAAGAAAACCGCACGCGGTAACAATCGTTAAAATTTTCAGCGTTGAAAAGTACTTTTCATATTTCTTGTTTTTCTAAAGTAAAATTTTAGGCTTTTCTAAGGCATATTTACCTTTTTACGGAAAAGCTGCAAGTGGATTGGCTACACATTTTTCGGGATTTGAACTCGGACACAGTTCTTGGACACAAAGCTTGGGAAAGACTGTATCCAGCTGTCCCGAGTCCAGTTTGAGGAACTGAAATCGATCGGAGCAACTTTCGCGCGAAGCCGCGAGCGGAATGTAGCTGTGAGTGAAATTCGCGCGAGATCGGGAACAAAACGAGTACCGAGTCTCCCGACGTTCTTGCGCAACATCAATCTGCGGATCAGTTTAGATTCAGGCCCCGCGCGAGAGTCTCCCAAATCGCGAAGCATCCACAGCTGATCTCCGACGCATACTTCTCGCGGCACGCGTCTCTCCAGCATCCGGGGCGAACGCGAGAGAGTGAAAGGAGACAAAGAGAGAAAGCGCGCGCGTCTCGATCGATAAATCGCGTTCGATCGCGCGAATTTCAATCGAGACCGTGCGCGAGATCTCTCTTCTCCCGCCGCTCATCGTCATCATCATCGTGTACCTGCCTGATGACGGAGCGCGTTTGTTGTGGGTGGATGGACACGACGCGTCCGTTCGTACGCGCTCGGCAGGCTCCGCTTACAGGGACAGAGAGAGAGAGAGAGAGAGAGAGGCGTGGGGCTACAGCTTGGTCCCGGCCTGAGCCGGCGGCGGCGGTCGAGCCAGTCGGTTCAAACGCGTCGGTTCAAGCGCAGCGCGCGCGCGCGGGTCTCTTTCTCTCGAGTCCATCTCCCCCGGGTGGTGTCATCGGCTGGCCTCTCCTCGCGCGGCGTCTCCTCCGCCTCTCGCGTCCTCCTCGCGTGTCACCTCGCGTACGCATCAGCCTCGCAAATCGCACCGGGACCCGGTCGCGCGCCCTCGGCGCACACGGGCGCGCGCGCGCGCGCGCACGAGACGTCGAAGCGGAGTGCGCTCGGCGCGCAGCGAGGTCGCGGGAGGAGAGAAATCTCCGGACGACAGTCCTCGAGACGACCGCCGCCTAGATCCCACCGCCGCGCGCGAAAGGATGACGGACGTCCAGGTGAACCCGGGCAAGGACGTCGCCGGCGGCAGGCTGCAGCAAACAGGTTGGTCCCGCACGCGGAAACCCCTCTCGGCGGCTCTTCCTCCTCTGCGTCGGCAGTTCATTCCGCGACAACCTTGAGCCCCGCGTCCGTGGTCCACGGACAACCGATCGTACCGAGTGGCGAACGGCGCGCGCGCGCGCGCCTTCCGCCATTTTGACCCGACGTAGGGAGAGGATCTGATCTCGCGGAAAAATCAGGCTTTTCCGCGCGTCCCATTGTCCCAGCGCCGCCGAGATCTTCTCACGCGATCGTTAAAACGAGCCGCGTTCCCGATCCGCCGGGCGCGGTCTGTGAGAAACGCGCGCGACGCCAGGGACGATCGTTGACAGACGATTTAATCTCACCCTCTCGGACGCTCGTTAAAAACGAGACACGGCGGGTGTGTGACGCTTCGTTAAGTTGAACTCCGGAAGCCAAGGTGTTGTCTCGAGCGCGAGAGGAGACTCGTTAAAGATACGCGAGGCGTCCTCGTTAGGCCCTTCGAGACATCGACGGACAACTATTGTAGTTTCCCCTCGAGCGCGTCGTCGTTCCGTTGCGGTGAAACATTTCCCGGGGTATAAATTGACGTTATTGCGAGTTCGTCAATCCGATGCATTCTTTCCTGAATCTCTGACGGTCTGTTGCGTATGTTTATTAACTTCCGTTCACCACGCGTTTTAATCTGCACTCTGCATCGCAGCGCGTGACGCGTGTAACGATGTTTATATAATTCATGATAATGACATAGCGCCTGGACGGCTATGTTACGGAAATAGCCCGTGAATTTATCACATACATCTTTTCCGCGCGAGTTGACAATGCTTCTTGATTCTGGATCGAACAAGAATCTTCCGCGACACAGCCGCCGTGTCTGAATTTTTATTTATGCATTAATATCGGATAAATTGCAGCCATCGATCGAAGAAACAGGTGGCACAATGAAATGACCCACTTTCCGTTGTCCATTAAAACAAATACCCGTCTATTTGTAACTGTAATCTTAATATTTAGCTATTTTTAACTTAAATACTTTTAAATAATGCACGTGGGAAGCCAGACTTGCCACTTATCTCTTGGCACCGGCAAGTATTTCCAGTCAAATGACAAAGACACGCGTCGGTGTATTTTGCAAGAAACGTCACAACGTCCCAATATACACAGAAAAACAGAATATTCCCCTTTCGAAAATACGTTTCGTTTCAACGCGAACATCTTGAAATAAGATTCTATTAATTGCGTTAAAGGAAGAAAAACTTGAATGACGCAATTTTGTATAATTCAATTGAGAAAAATGTGTGCTTATTATTTAAGAATAATTTTCTTGAATGGAAGGGAAACAATAGTGTATAGACAACGACACATTTTCAAATCGAAGATTATGGTGATCGAAATGATTTGATCAATTAAACAGCAACTTATTAACGCCAGCCAAGAAATGAAGAAATAAAATGATTTTATTGTCAAAATAATTTTATGTATTCTTGAAGTGACAATGATAGTATTTAAATAAGACTGCAACCTTGGCGGAACGTAAGATTATTAAATGCTTCTAAGAAGATTATAGATTGCCGCGTATGTACAAAACAATGGACGCGGCAATTTGAATCTACGAGAATTGATCTGGCACTTATTTTCCTTTCTGTATACAAAATGACCTGCAGTATCCCATATCTATTAATTTACAAAAATAGAAATCCAAGGCTTTGCCGTGAGAGGCTGAAGAATACACCTTTATTGATAACAGATAAGGAAACGTATGACACGGAACAGGCTTGCCGTACATTTCATTTCAGAATTGCATGCTGCGATACACAGGTACATCCATTCAAATACACGATGACGCATCGAATGCTTTCTGATTGCGCTTCAATTGCATCTATTTACGATACGACTCTCCACGAGAGTCGCACGCGAAACAATATAAAGTATTACGCGGAGTACGTAATGCGCGTCTGTCGGCATTAATTATCGAAGAGACCCGAATGCACGGTCGCATGGGAACCGGCAAGAAGTATCATTACGACGCCTGCATGGATTTATGAGGAAGACTGTACGGTGGCCTCAGCGTCTGGGGGCATTATACCCGGAGCGATGAGAAAATCCAGCGTGTAACGTGGAACCATACGACTGGGAAGCTTTTTTAACCAGCCACTTTAATCTCAGCCGCGCTCGAGCCGTCGCCGCACTCGTACGCAATTGGCCTCTTCTGCCGGCGGAATCAATCGCGATGCGGAAATCATTATGCGCGACCGTGAGAAAATATATTCGTCTGGATCGTTTATTACCATCGACACACTGTCGCGGAGAAGCGCGGTGTCTCGCGCCCGTTGTCGCAATTGGCACGCTTGCCAATCCAACTCCAACTCACTTTCTGGAGCTCTCTTTCTGCACAGAGAGAATTTTCTCCTGAAATTCATGCTGGATTCATGTCCCTGGTAGCAGGTTGGCTAAATATTGGTCCAATGTTGGTTATATTAGAACTGCATTGGCCGATGTTGTTCAACGTAGAGCCAATATTGGCCATGGAATTAATGTAAATAGTGCACGGTGATAATTATATAATATTGGAGGTGCATTGGCCAATATTTAACAATGTAATAAGAATAGTGTGTCAATATTAGACCGACATTACTGAACAGACATATTGGCTAAATAAGAGAAGACGTCCAAAGGCTTACAATATCGGATCAATGTTGGGAATACTAGATCTACATTATTTCCCAATATTGCGCCAATATATTGTGCTACTGGGGGTCGTGGGACAACGCGACTCTTTGAAATTTTACTGTACATTTCACTAGTAATTACATTTACAGCCAATTCGGTTGCTTGCACTAGTGTGCACTGACAAACTGCGCACTAAAGCTTGTTTACAGTCAATTCTTACATTTAGGGATGGTCTTAAATATCTCTTGAATTGTTTCTTAGCAAAATGATCTGCATAGCATCCATGCGGATTATTTTTTGGCTAAATACTACTTGAAAAATTGACCATAAACAAGCCTCAGGGTCCAGTTTAACAAACGACGGTTAATTATTAATCGAACGTTAATTGATTCTCTGTC